GTTCCTGCATCGATCCGAGCATTCGACGATCTTCGGTCGATGAGCGTAATCGCGTTTTACAGGTCTAATGGTGTTTGTAATATTTTTTGGAATTTTGAGTTGTTCACCTTGGGATGGGACTTGGTTGGTTCGGAGCTAAATCTGATCGAGTTCAAAATTTTCTTGATCGTTTTCTTCGACGATTGCGTTTATTAGCACTTCTTCGTTCTTAATGATTTTTCTGATAGAGAACGAAACTATTTGTGTTTCTTCTGTGTTCTCGTTTACTATCAATTATAACATTTGATTATGGAAGAACATAATTTTGCCTCGATTTAGATGAGACGGATTACGCTCATGTGTAAACGATTCTGTATGTAACAATGTGTGTAAGAGAAGCTCGGTAATTTCCTTTTAAATAAAAATATAATGATAAAAATAATAATAATATTAATAATAACTTTTAAATAAATTTTAAACTAATTTCGAAATATGATACCAATGTAATATTTTGTTACATTAAATTAATATAATATATTATAATATAATATAATTATATAATACATATATACATTAACTAACTAACATTATATATATATTTATAATAATATAATATTAATAATATTAATAAAAAATATTATATATAATATAATTTGATGGATTATGAACGGGATAATTGCAGTTTCTGAACCATTTTTTAAGATGTCGATCTTCGATGTTAAAAGAACTATTAAACTGGCTGCAGAAAAATTGTTAAACTGGACAGAGCTCGTTTCCTTATACCCCGATGGCGTATGTAATTTGTTACAACGAATATAGAAACATCAGGCATATTTAAGATGTAAATTCGATTTATTCACAGAATTATTCAAAATTTTATGCGAACCCGATCTACATTCACATCATTAAAACCAGTGCATTAATTTCTCGATTTTATCGAGAACTCTGTTCCTGGAGTTCCAGCAATGTTTATAATTATCCCAGCGATAGTCAGAATTAACAGCCACCAATAAGAAAGCGTAACGTCGACTTCCGTATCTTCGGACACGCTTCTTCCCGTGAACAGCCGTGACTTCCATAAATCGCGCAACGTTTACACGAAACTCGCGGAAGCACCGAAAACTGTTGATTGCAATTAAACTCGGACCGGGCGAAAACAGTTTCCCGATACATCCGGTCCCAATAGTTGGTTGAACTATTATTAATGTTTTCGGCGTCCGGATCGTCTCCTGTTTTACGGTCGCGTCGGCCAGTGGGGGGAGGGGCGGGGTAAGGTGCGTTCGTCGCTCGTGTAACATTTAATCACGAAAATTCGCATGGTAATGAGAAACAAAGCTGCGCGATTATTTGGCGTATCGTTGGGCTGGGGACAACTTCGCACCCGGCACGATTAGCATTTTCATGCGAGGAAACGCGTCACGGCCGGTGTCGTCGAGTTTTCGTATTTATCGCCCCGTGGCTCCTCGATTTCCGACGAAATTGTTTAAATTCGCATATAATTAATTCTCGCCGCTCCGAATCAATATCTCTCGCGCCCGCGACGCGTCGAGCCTATAGTTATCGTATCGCCCCAGGAGATCACGCGGAATATCCGATGAAAAATTCCGCAGCCATTTGTTCGACAATATTGTTGCAGTACGTGGTCCACGTTCGGCGTACACGAGGAACGATGTACACGCGTGATCCATCATCGTCCGATGCCTGGAATTTCCAATGATCTATCGAGCAGTTTTTCAAAATACTACATACACTTCGACGCGTTGTCTGATCCGTGCCCGTTCCATTCCCCTTGCCTCGGCTCGAAACGTACTCGTTTTCTCTACTTGACTAACGGCTGTTTCCCTTGTCCGACACACTCGACAGGACCATTTCACTTGTCCGATTCATGGCCGGCTTCTTTTACCTCGGAGGTCTGATTGGTGGACGGCCGCGGAGCTTGCCCGGCCAGCGATTGTTCTGTTCCCCTCGGTTGAACGGTGTCGGTTGTGTCCCCATTGTCTGAACAGTGATTGGGTTATTCCACCGGCATGATTAGTGACCGTTCTGGTTCCTTAACTAACCGAGTCGGAAACTTGGCAAGCCTATTCTCCTTGTCTGATTAATGGATGTTCTTTTCTCCTGTAAACGTCTGATCGGTGAATGGCTTATGCTACTCGCTGGGTTAGTGATTGTTCTGGTTAAATGTCCGTTGGTTGTTTCCATTGTCTGACACTTGGCAAGCCTATTCTCCTTGTCTGATTAATAGATGTTCTTTTCTCCTGTAAACGTCTAGTCTATGACTGGTTTATACTACTTGCTGGGTTGGTGATTGTTCTGGTTAAACATTCGTTGATTATTTCTATTGTCTGACCTTTGTCAAGCCTATTCTCCTTGTCTGATTAATAGATGTTCTTTTCTCCTGTAAACGTCTAGTCTATGACTGGTTTATACTACTTGCTGGGTTGGTGATTGTTCTGGTTAAACATTCGTTGATTATTTCTATTGTCTGACCTTTGTCAAGCCTATTCTCCTTGTCTGAATAATAGTTGTTCTTTTCTCCTGTATACGTCTAGTCAATGACTGGTTTATACTACTTGCATCCGTTGATTATTTCTATTGTCTGACCTTTGTCAAGCCTATTCTCCTTGTCTGATTAATAGATGTTCTTTTCTCCTGTAAACGTCTGATCAGTGAATGGTTTATGCTACTCGCTGGGTTAGTGTTTTGGTTAAATATCTGTTAAGCCTATTCTCCTTGTCTGATTAATAGCTGTTCTTTTTCCTTTAAACGTCTGATCAGTAAATTACTTACTCCCCTTTATTTTCTATATATATCCTAATTTTGACGATTAAACAGTAATAGATCCATTTCAACTCGTTTGAAGTCGACCATCTTATTTTACTGGTTTGAACAGCCATCGTCGTGCAATTCGTTTAATCAGTAATTAGACTGCAGACTTTAAGTAGCTGGCATAAGAAGAACTTAATCATATTGTTGTATTATTTCCAAAATTATTCGAAGGAAGAATTTATTTTTATTTCTATCCTTTTTGTTTTTACTTCATTTTGCACAAAGTCCCATAATCTGGCGATTATCATTCCATGGTCATACCAATAATCGTTCCATTGTACTTGTCCGATCGATTGAAGTCATCGTCTACAATCGATAAACAATGGATCAACCGGCCGCAGATGAACGAGTGCTAATGGCTGCCGTTCGACGCGTGAAAAGGGCGTTCGATCGAAAAATTCCCGGAAACCGGTGAAAAAACAGGGTCGCCGGAGGGTTCCCCGGGGAAAAATTCCTACGTCACCGTCGTTCAAGGGTCTCTCGCAAGAGTGGGCCCTTCGTAACGGCGGTTGAGATTCACGTCACGTTCGCTCGCTTGATTGCTTTCCCGATCCCGTTAGCGAAGAACAGAAAAAAGGAAAGATGCGGGAGCATCGGATGGAGAGAGCGCGAAAGAGAGAGGATTATTTTAAATTCCACGCCGACGGTACTATTAAATAAAGGCCGCGGCAGGAATGCGCGGCGGGATTCCGAGCGAATAAATCTCACCGGGCCGGAGCCCGGAGCCCGGCTCGGCCCGGCCCGAACCGCTTTCCCGCCTACCTGTCGTACATTTCAAATATTCCTGGGAAAGTAACCACCTCCGACTTCTCGCCCTGGAAAACCGGATACCGCGGTAACGCCGCGGCTTTATTTTCACGCGGCGTTCTTCCGCTGTGTCAGCAGTCCCAGGATAAACCCGCGTGAAACTGCACCGAGTCCCAGTGATCTCAACGCACGAGGAAGCGCCGAGCTTCGATTATGGCTATTCAGAGTTAATTAGTATGACTAGTACGTTTTGCGAACTCAAATGGTTGGAGCTTGTTTCGTTAGAAGACTGTGTCAGGGTAGTTGTCTGATAAAAGACGGATCTATTCTACTTGTCCGACGTCAGGCCGTTTCATCGCACTCGTCTAATTACTGACTACTTTTCGGCATTCGTGTCGGAATAAACTGTCATGGCAATTGGCTGATTGCAAACTGTCTTATTCTACTTGCACGACGATTATAGATGGCTAACTACAGACTCTATTATTGTACTTGCCTGATAACGTACTGGTTTATTCTACTTGCCTGATAACAGGTGGTATTATTCTGCTTGTCCGATAACAAACTGTATTATTCTACTTGTCTAATAACAGACTGTCCGTTTATATTCGTCTAATTACAAGCTGTTTCATTGTATTATATTTCACCAAATTCTGCCTATCTAAACTTTTATATTGTGTTTGACTGAGAGAAGTTTCAGTCTAACAGTGGCAATTTTTATGCATTAATTATTTTGCATTAGTTTTATGGATTAAACGCGCTACCAAATAGCACGAACAGGAAGCTATTTAAACGCTTAATTAGTACACACAAGGTGTATCATAAAAATGTTACGTTACTCATACGATCACCAAAGTACAATTCCCGTTGTTTTGTCCGTACGTTCGGTTAGTCGCCTAATGTACATGCGCGACCGAACAATTGTACGCTCGATTCGCGCTTCCTACGGCAAATTAATGACGTGGAAGGGTCTCTAGTAGTCTTAGAGAACTTTATTTTTTGTGTTGTACTCTCTGCGAGCGCTGGTGGAAGAATGCTCTTCCAACGCTGGAAAGTCGTGGAAGAGCACCCGTGGATGGAGGTAGATTGTTTATTATTGGTCAAGGCACGAATCACCCCTTGGAGGGGGGTGTCTGCCTTGACCCTTGTTGGGGCCTGAGAGGGTTTCCCCAATGGTGGGGCCTTTTTATGGCCCTTGTCTCTGGACGCAACACCTGTTACGTTCATTAGAAAGTAATCTCACGATAACAATGCGATGCACGGAATAAATAAGATCCTACGGAGAGATAATGTCCAATTTAACCACTTTACTTATACGCTTTGGATCGTGTTTACAGGTGCACCGCGGCGAAAGATCTTGATTCAAGGACAACGCGCCATGGGAAAACCGTGGAGCGAAGGATAAAATTCCCAGCGGGGTCCGCGGAGAAAGTGCGAGGGCTTACCCAAGTCCATGATATGTTCCTTGCCGAAGTGTTTCACAGAGTGAACCTGGAGAAGCCCGAAAGCTAGCTGCATGCCGGTGGTGAGCAACAGGGCGAGGAAGCCGGCTGCGCAGACCAGCCACCCCCATCCGCCGTCCGGGTAGAAATGCGTCCGCGTGCCGACGTCGTCTACGTCTGAACGGAAAGGTTCGCTCTCTTTACGATTCGCCGTTAAATCCCCGTTCTCGTTCACGAGAGCAGAGTCGCGCGTCAACAAATAGTTTACTGCGCCCGCCATTCGCTTTAGCATTTATGTCGCGATAAAACCAGCCCGGGGACAGGCGGACCGTGCGCGCGAAAAAAGATTTTCTATTAGCGCTCGGCAAACTGCCTGGTTGGCTTTCGACTGGTCTCGTGAACGTCGAATAGTTTAGGCTACTCGAGGCTGCAGGAGATTGGATTTAATAGTGCAGAGAACTTTACGGTCGTTTGAATTCTGTTCGAATTTTATGGGGTGAAGATTCGATGGACGCGTTCGTTGATTTTGTACGAGGTGGTGGACAGCGTTTCATGCATTTATGGCGACAATGGGGGAGCTGTGACGATACCAGGAGAACATCAGGATATTGTGTCAATGTTTTTAATTTTGTTAGAATTATGTATTTCTCGCGTTAATAATGAAGAATACTCAATATTTAAAGTTGCATCAATCATTATATCGTGTTTAAACGCAGCTCTAAATAAACAATATATTGACCGTACCTAACTCTTTAAGTGGATTCTCTTTTTTACAGCTACGTCGATCAGCCTCGTTCTCGATAATCTCAATTTTCTTCTTATTTACTTTTATTCCGCGATTTTTCTAACAGAATTTTTCTAAGAGAATCAAATTCTGCTTCGATTTAAAGGAAACGAATATCATTCGTATTTAACAGACCACGTATAAAATCTTCACCTCGAGGTTACGGTGCACAAGGGGTTAACAGGCTCAATGAAAACAAATGGGAGGTGTGAACTGAAAAACTAAAACGAGTCGGCGGAGCGTCTTACCAGTTCGAGGATAGGTCGGCACGCACCGCGGGAAGGTCCACAGATTATTGCCGAGCATCCAGTTATTGTTGTCAGGGATGCTGCCCTCGGAGTCCACGTAGCGCACCCTCGGGTCTGAAATCGAGAAACGAACACGGTTATTTAAAAACGGAAAAATCTAGGCGAACGGCGCGGCGCCGCCGCCTGCGAATTAATACAATACGCGAAGCAACGCTCGCCAATCTATTCTCCTGTCCCCGGGTATATGCAAATCGGAACCGTGCCTGCCGCGGATTAAACCGAGGATTACGTACGCCTGTTTTTGCGTAATTCGCCGATATATTTGCGGAACTTAATTACGCCTGTGGGGCGAACGGTAACAGACGCGATCAATGAATTTACGTCGCGGTCTCTGTTTTGCAGCCGCGATTAAGGCCTGCGATAGTCATAAATCCTGTTTACCCGCGAGTCAGCATTATTAAGACCTCAGACTTTAGAACCCGCGCGTATCGAGATGTTAATGGTGAAAAACTGCTCCGACGAGGCTGCGTCTTATTCGCTTTATTTTACTGCACACTGGCGAACGTTTTAACATTTAACTTAACAATCGTTTCATTAACCACAGACACGACTCTCTTGCCTGTCTAATTATACAGATCGCTAGCTCATGCGCCTGCTGAAAAGGATCTACTTTCTGTGTATGACCCGTGGCCGACATGTTCTACTTGTCTGGTAAAAGACTGCTCTATTTCAAGTGTCTGATAAAACTGTCCTGTTCTACTTGTCTGACAAAAGATTGTCCTATCTCGCGCGTCTTACAAAACTGGCCTATTTTACTTGTCTGGCTGCGAACTGACTCGTTGCACTTGCCCGATAAACACTATCTCATTGTACTTGTCTGACTACAGGCTGCCTCGTTGTACTCGTCTGATCATACACTGTCCCGTTTTACTTGTCTAAAACAGCCTGTTCCACTGCACTTGTCCGATTACAGAGTGCCTGATTGTTCTCGTCTGGTTACAAACTGTCTTATTCTACTTGTGCAACCGAAGATTACCTTCATCCATAGATTATACATTTAATATGGATTATCTTCATTCGGACTAAAGTCCGTTTATTTTATTTGCATGACCAAAAACAATCCCATTCCACCAGTTGCACCAGTTATGACACGGTCAGCTGTCTTCGCTGCGCTCGTCAACGAGATGTGTATAAACCAGCCTAATTTAAACCGAACTCACACCCTTTCTGCGACGTCTAACCGACGCCGGACCTTATTTAGCTAAGTTTCACTTCGCCGACGGGAAATCTTACTTACGTTTCGCGCAGTCCCCCTCCCGTATGAATAATTCACACCTGTCCGACATATAAAAGGGTGAGGACACCACGGGCCGATGTCACGACGTCGATTCAGAGACACCATCCTCCCCTGACGGACTTTTACCTTCCGGTCGCGTCTTGTCGCGCAGCAGCACCCACCAGCAGACCAGCCGCCAGCTGGCAACGCTGCCTCGCACGACGCCCCCACGTGCTACAGACACGGGAGGAAGGGAGCGGCGGATGAAACGAGTTGAGAGAAATGAAGAGGAAAAAGAAGAGTCCAGAGGGTTAGATAAAAGTGCTCATGAAAAGGTGATGCCAGTCACCATCGGTGGGGGGTCGAGATTCTACCAGTGGTCGAGGGCTCGAGGACACGGGTCGATGACTCTCGAGCTGTTCTCTGACATTTTTGGTGGCTTTAGAACATCCTTAGCGCCAGACCGCGGGGTCTTTTCTATAGGAAAACTAGCGGAGTCGAGGGCTGCCGAACAGCTTTACCAGCTGACAATGGGATCCCAGTCCCTATCTCCCTGGAACGCCAATTCGAAACGCTGCTTTCTCTAATTGTACGAATCTCCGTGAGTCTAACTACAAGTACAAACGAAATAATTAAAGTTATATATATAACTTTAATTATTTCGTTTAATTATAATTATTATAATTATAATTTTCTTAATAATTATAATTAATATAATTATAATTTTCTTAATAATTATAATTATTATAATTATAATTTTCTTAATAATTATAATTATTATAATTATAATTTTCTTAATAATTATAATTATTATAATTATAATTTTCTTAATAATTATAATTATTATAATTATAATTTTCTTAATAATTATAATTATTATAATTATAAAATATATATATTAATATATCTTAAGGTTTCAATAAAAATATTTAATGTTAATCGTTTCACAATCTTCTACACAATTTGCAATACTGCTTTTATGATACCCCACCAACAATCATCAAATGTCAATATAATATATAATATACTACATATTGCATAATATACTATATATAGTATAATTAATAATATAATATAAATGATAATACAATATACAGGGTGTTCCACAATTATTTTAACATCCGAAAATGAGGGGTAGCTGAGATCATTTGAAGTAACTTTTTCGTTTGCGAAAATGCAATCTGCGGCTTTGTTTACGCGTTATTAACAGAAAACACTGACCAATGAGAGGTGACGGCGCGAAGTTCGAGAGCCCGCAGCACGAGGCTTTGACAGATGGTCGGGACGGACTCGAGCCGCGTTCGAAGTATTGAACAAATCACGAAGCGAGAACTCTCCGGATTTTTTTTAACTACGTAACAGTGATATTTTTAAGAGAAACGCTGTCCACCTTTACTTTAGAACGTCTGAAGAATATTTACTAATTTTTCGGACCCGAAATAGTAAGTAATTTAACCGAGACGGCTGTTTTAATTTTCTAGTGTGCATGACACCTTGTGTGTAACATATGAAATTTTTAAACAAGGTGTACAGTGGAGATTAACAAAGTACGTAAATGATATTTTAATTTAAATAGTTCCGTGTCCGAACACAGTTCAACGAATGATTCGCAAAGCAAATTTAATAAATAATAATCGTGTTAAAGGACGTAAGGGATATGTTTGTTAGAGAAATATGAACCTGAGGTCAGAAATATGACCTCAGCTACCCCTCATTTTCGGTTGTTAAAATAATTGTGGAACACCCTGTATAATATAATAGAATATATATTAATACTATATATATAGTTTATAGTCTATTATATATTATATTATTAAAGTTATATATAGTATAAAATAAAATTAAAATATATTAATATATATTCTACAATATATGATATTTAATTTTATAAAATTAAATATACAAATAAATTAAATTTAAAAATTTTATAGAAATAATGAATATATTTGCTAAATAATAAAAATGTTGTCAACTACATACACATAGAATGAATATATAATACTAAATTGAACACGTTGTATGTAATTATTTGCTTTTCGACAGGAGAAAAACCGTTCAGCGAAAGAATGTTTCTGCGAAACAAAGCTTGCAGAAATTCCTTATAAAATTGTACAACGTAAATTGAACGAAGCCCGAATATATAAAGGTGTGCAACAGAGAGAAACAATGACACTAAACTCACTATTTAATTCTCTAAATATCTATCAATCGCGACAAATGCAACGTAAACAATTAACCCAATGTTCTTCTGACCTATATCCATTTCACACGACATATAGCATTTTGAGCATAGAAATTTGTGACTCAAAAAAAAATCCTCTCTCCCTTTCCCTCTCTATAAGTACATTAAAGGTTCCATAAAAAAGTCAGCGGTTCTTCATCACGCTCGCCAATAAATTGCGGCTCGCAACGTTCGCCCGTCGGGGGGTGGGTCGGCGCCGCGGCATTTTTTTCGAACAACCATTTTTCAGGTGCGCGAAACAATTTTTTAACCTGCCGCGGCGTCACGGTTGGCAGAAAAAGAAGAGAGGAACGAAAATGAAGGAGAAAAAGAGGTGAAATTAGAAAGAGTAGGGAAAACAGAGGCCGCGCGCATCAAAGCGACGCTGCGCGACGCTGGCCGGCGCGACGCCGCGCCTGTTCTGGAAAATACGGAGTGGTGTGACGTGCATTTTTAATTTCGTGCCGGGACACGAGTGCACGGCCGCCACTAAATATTCCTTTCCCTTGTCGGTTAATTACCAAGCACAATGGCCTCGCCGAGGAAGTGGTTATTTCGAAAAGCAAACTTCTGCCGCAAAATTTCTCTTTCATTCAATTCGGACGCCGCGGTTTTTACACCTCGCGGACGTCTCACTCGTCCGAGCACTCGTTCTCATTCATTTTTGAGACGTACGTACACAGCTGTTGTCACACGTTTTACGATGCGGAGCGGCTACAGTTATCGTCGGGAACCATCGGAACACGATTTCCCGTCGACGATCATCGTCAGATTCATTGCGCGTTTATAATGCGAAATTTTTCAATAAATTTTTAAATAAAGAGCAACGAGACGCTTGTAGCAATCCTTTTAAAATAAACTACGAACGGCTGAGTGCTTAATCAATTGTTCAAAAGCGACGGTAGCTTCGTTCGCAGTCCAATAAATTATTTAGATCGATATAATGTAACAGCTACTTCTGCTGTTAAAATTCTATAGAATATCGTCGAGCTTCATCTACAACTCAATTATTAATAATAGAACCATCGAGTTCTAAAAGCGATCAATATGCATGGTTCTACGTATAACAATGACGAGATTGGATTTATTTAGATTTCCTACAATCTCGATTTTAATGTATGCTTCTATATTGAAATCCGTCTAATAATTTCTAATAAATGACGTCTGTAATATCATTTATGATATGTGTAACATTCTTGTAATATCAGAAATTGTAAAAGAAATGTCAGAAATTAGCCAATTTAGCTCATCTAATAATTTTTAATAAGTAACATTTGTAATATTATTTATAATATGTGAAACATTCTTGTAATATCAGAAATTGTACAAAAATGTCAGAAATGAGCCAATTTAGCTCATCTAATAATTTTTAATAAGTAACATTTGTAATATTATTTATAATATGTGAAACATTCTTGTAATATCAGAAATTGTAAAAGAAATGTCAGAAATTAGCCAATTTAGCTCATCTAATAATTTTTAATAAGTAACATTTGTAATATTATTTATAATATGTGAAACATTCTTGTAATATCAGAAATTGTAAAAGAAATGTCAGAAATTAGCCAATTTAGCTCATCTAATAATTTTTAATAAGTAACATTTGTAATATTATTT